AGTAGCCACTAATCACAGTGGGTATTTAAATTAATTTTAATAAAATTAACAATCCAGTTTCTCAGGCACACCAGCCGCATTTCAAGTGTTCAACAGGCACACATAACTAGTGGCTACTGTACTGGATGGCGAAGATACAGAACATTTCTGCCATCACAGAAAGTTCCACTGGACAGTGCTGGTCTAAGGTTTTTGGTATTCTCTTCCTTCCTCCCAGAAAAAAATTAAAATGATAGGCGTCATCTCCCAGTCTCCTGAGAACTCTCTGGGGCATCAGAATATCCCAAGGAATTCCGTACATCAGGCATCATCATCACCAACATCATAGTCACCATCACTACTCTACTGTCATCATCAGGGCAGTTGATTTTTATTGAGTACTTAATATATTCTAAGGACTTTATTAAAAGCTTTATGAGTATTATCTCATTTATTCCTCACAACAATCACACGAGGTAGGACTATTATTCCCATTTTATGGATAAAAAAATTAACTGAGTTTTAGACAATAACTCAGCCAAAGTTATACAGCTAGGAAGTGACAGCAATGCGTAGAAAGTTGAAGCAAATTAATAATGTAATTATTTTGCCTTTTTAAGACAACACACTTTTTAACAAAAAGGAATGAGATCAACACCTCACACCAGCACTCAACACTCCAGCCAGACCGAACTATTTTCAGATCACTCAATTTGCCCTACAGCTTTCTTGCCTTTGGGTTCTGTACATGCTGTTCCCTCTGCTTCCATCCTTTTCATTTGGCCAAATCCTACTTATCCTTAAGACCTCAGATCCTCCCACAATCCAGTTTAGGGATGTATCCTGAGCTGATGCAGAAACCCGTATGTTACCTATTAAAGCACTTCCCACAGCAGACACAGGCTCCTGTTCACTTTTCCTCTTCTCCCATTAGAATGAAACTCCTTAAGAATTAAGAGACCCTGTCCCTTATTTATCATGGACTCCATCTGGCCTAGCCCAAAACTTGGAACACAAAAGGTACTCAAGAAGTACTTGATAAATGAAGGAATACTGAAAATAAGATGCTTAGATAATTAAATCATTTCACAAGTATTCACTAAACCAAATAAAACGTTATCTAATTTGACTTTTACACAAACTTATGCTTCTATTCAATCAGAGAATATTAATAGTACACACTAAATGGCTTCATTACCATTTAGTTGCTAATAAAAGTATTTCACGAACATTTTTCCCACACAATATGCAAAACAAAAGTTAAGAACCAAAGATCAGGGGCAGGCCCGGTGGCACAGTGGTTAAGTGCGCATGTTCCGCTTCGGCGGCCTGGGGTTCGATGGTTCGGATCCTGGGTGCAGACATGGCATCGCTTGGCACGCCATGCTGTGGTAGGCGTCCCACATATAAAGTAGAGGAAGATGGGTATGGATGTTAGCTCAGGGCCAGTGTTCCTCAACAAAAAGAGGAGGATTGGCGGCAGTTAGCTCAGAGCTAACCTTCCTCAAAAAAAAAAAAAGAACCAAAGATCAGGGAGTAACTGCTAATGGGTTTGGGGTTTTGATGAAAATTTTCTAAAATTGATTGTGGTGATGGTTGCACCAAAAAGATTGAATTGTACACTTGAAATGGGTAACTCTTATGACGTGTGAATTCTCTCAATCAAGCTGTTACAAAACAAGAAAGATCTGCAGGAACCTAGACTTAAATTATGAAAACAATTATTAAGCAGGCAAAAAAAATACCTATAAGATAAAATACTTGTTATATTTATACAATTTTAAAATAGCTAAATGCCATATTATTGCACAAAATCTCAATCGTTAAGAAAAACAAGAAAGTGGAAACAGTGTCTTCAGGAATAACCGGATGGGACAGGAGAGACTGACTTTTCCCTGGGTATTCTTTTACACCTTCTGATTCGGTATATGTATTACCTACTTTTACAAAATAAGTATACGTAAGGTTAATAACAACAAAGTCATCTCTCTCTTCAGTACTAGTATGCACTCCCAGGCTGCCTATTTTGTTCTGAAAAGAATAAAGAATGAAATATATTTTAAAAAACCATTCCAGGGAAGTAAAAAACAAAGATTCTTACATTTGTCTCATCTCGCACTGAAAAGCATTTAGTCATTTCTCTGTTACTAGACAGAATAATCAAGCAGAATTCGCTCTTACCCAACACTCTGACACATCTTTAAACAATGACACAGCTGATCGTTCCCTCCTCCTTGAAACTTCCTTTCCTTACTTCCAGTACAGCACACTCCCCTGGTTTTCCTCCGAACTCAAAGACCCCTCATCAATCTCCTTTGCTGGCTTCCTCTTCACCTCCCAGAAGGTATGTAGAAGGTAAGTTCCATGAAGGTGGGAATTTTTTTCAACTTTGCTCACTACTGCATCCCCAATATCTAAAAAAGTACTGAGAACCATAATAAATTACTGTTGAATGAATAAATGAATGAATCAGTGCCCCAAGGCTCAGATGTCGAAGAGCCATAGAAATACATCATATTCCACATAACCTTTATGCTAAGTTTACTTTATTACATTATATTTCTCTGAAAATTGATAATCAATGTACTGTCATTATTTGATTAACCAAAATACTTCATTCCCTGGTCTTTCTCCAACAATGTTTTTGATACGGTATGTGTAAAATGCACATTTAACAGCTCTGAGAGAACCTTGCTGTAAGAACCTTCACTTCTGTTTTCAGTATTTTTTTTCCTGAGGAAGATTCGCCCTGACCTAACATCTGTGCTAATCTTCCTCTATTTTGTGTGGATGTAGGTCCATGCCCGAAAACCCAACCCAGGCCACCAAAGTGGAATGCCCCAAACTTAACCACTAGGCCACAGTGCCAGCCCGTTTTCAGTATTAATGTCGAATTAACACAGTGACATACTTACCAGAACTTAGTAATGAAAAAAAAAAGGAACACGTCAGTAAACTCAACAAGGATATCAGAGTAACAACTAAAAAGTGACATTTCTTGAAAAATAAAATGCAGGGGTTTTTTTTCAGGCATAAGAAATTCTAAAGAGAAATAGATCACTTCTACCTTACACTTTCCCCCAAATCATATGATTTCATTCCTACAAGGAGAAGGATCACATCCCACAGTCAGCCACGCAAATATCATTTTAGCAATATACAGTTTCACCCAGTGTCTTAGTTCGCGTCATCTCCCTGTGTACCCAACTGAATCACAGTAAAATTTAAAAGCCAAAACTAGATATGTGAACTTTAATTTTTCCATCTAAGTAATCCAAAATCAAACTTTTCATTGTACCAACGTATAATTTGTTGTCTGAATACAGTCAATTAAACCTTTTATTTATAATTACAAACTGTACCACACCCTTTCTCACTTAATAGCTACTATATCATCTGTTTCCTATAAGTCTTTTCAAGCAGCAGTATTTGCTAAAGATAACAGTCTGCATGTTAAAAAACGCAATGATCTGCAACTACTGACACTCACATCTGTATTTCTCTCTTGGGTTACAGGAAAGCACTTCTCTGGCTTTGTTCCCAAATAAATTGAGTAAGCCTTGGGAAAGTCATTGCTTAAATTCCATTTCATGATGGTTTCTCTTCCTCCATAAATGAATTATTGAGAGTCATGCCTAGTTCTATCCATTACATAATACATGTCCATTACAGGACCTGTTTTCTGAGCAAGAAATAGCTTAAACGACACTAAGTGATAGGTAAGGTCAATGACTATTAGATAGTGTAATCTAATAGGGAGTAGGAATCCAGAAAAGAAGATTCAGATTTAACGTGCTGTGAAACACTGATGGGAAGAATATTGAACGCTGTTTCCTCTTAGTAACATCTCCCTATGAAGTGACAGACACAGGCCCCCCAAAATGTTATTAAAGAGCATTTTAAAGGCACTTGACTCCAAGAACACTTCTCAGAAATTGAGGGACCTATCAGGAAAAAAAAAACACCATTCTACTTCGTTTTTAAAGTGTTTAATAAAGATATCTGGAATTGAGAAATAAAAATAATCTCAAATAAGTGTTGAAGACTTAAAATGTCTAATGTCAAGGCCTACTGAAAAGCAAGCTGTAAAAGACAGCTGTGCTTTAAAACATTTAAGCATTTTTCATATAATTAGCTCCAAAAGAACTGTTCAAATTGTTCATTTATCCGCCCAAAGCAGTCAACCACAACCACCTGCAACTATTACTCAGAAATATGTCTTCCAAAGCAACCACCTGATTCTCAGGCCCTCTCCTAAGGGGACAGGATAAAGCCTGTAAAAAGAGGTGGTAAAAAGAGATCTTTCTAGGTACAGAAAAAAGACTGGAAGATAACACCTTTAAGGAACTAAGCGTAATGGGACCTAATCCTTAATGTTGCTGCCAGAATGAAGTTGTCAACCCAAGATCTCACTCTTCTTGAAGGGTGTAAAACTTCAAATCCATCCACGCTCCTAATTGACCCATCCGGAGCCAAAAGCAGAGAGATTCTCCTCACCACCCCAGACCCACCCCCACCCCCCGACAGGATGATAAGAAGAAAAATAACCAAAACCCTAAAGGAGAAACGTGAGATCTAGTGCAATAGCTTCTCCAACTGCCTCAAAGGTAACATCCACAGCTCATCTTCCTTTTGAAATACCACCCTTCATCCCCTATCTCACCATTTCACAGAAAGAAAAAAAAAAAACCCTCATCTCTTTCAACACTTTACATCAGTCACCTAAACCCAGATCCACCCTGACCGCACCCCAAGCTCCTCATGGCTCCCCAATTCCTCCACCTCGCCCCTACCTCGCCCGCAACATCAGCCTCATAAACCGTCCACGCTCGTTTCTCCGGGCGCCCAGATGCCGCGTCTCCCACCTCCAACCTCCCGCCCGGGCTCCCCACAGCCCCCGCCTCAGCGCCCGCCCAGCCCCGAGCCCGGCGGCGGAGCCCGCGGGTGGGCTGGGGCGGGGTCCGCCGCTCCCGGACTTCCCCATCCCCCCCGGCCGGAGGGGGAGGGGTCCGAAGCCTCACCTACGGCTCCGCCCCTGCCCGGGGGCGCGCTGCCCTGCCCCGGCCAGGGCCGTGAGGGAACAGCGGGCGGCGGAAAGGCAAAGCCTCCGCGCCAGCGACAGGCGGGAAGCTCTGGGTCCCGCCTGACTTCCGAGCTGCCGCCACCGCAGCCGCCTCACCCTCCTCGGGGCTGCTGCTGTTGCGGCTGCTACCGCCCGGGCGCCGCCGCCACCGCCACCGCCACTACCGCCGCCGCCACAGCACAGCACGGCCCGGGCGCCCGCGACGTCACCGCGCCCCGCCCCTGCGCGAGACACCTAGCCCCGCCCCCGGGCCCGGCCGCCAGACGCCGCGAGCTCCGCCTCCTCCGGGCGGCCGCCTCGCCCCCCGCTCTCCCGGGAGCGCGGCTCTGCGCCCGCCGGCCTCCGCCGCCCCCCAGGGAACGCGGGGTGGGGCTGCGGAGCGGCGTGGCTCAGGGTCCCGGGGGCGGCCGCGCGCCGAAGCAGAGCAGCGGGCGCGGGGCAGACACACGCACACCGCCCCCACGCGCGGCCCCCGAGGCCACGGGCGGGCAGAGCTCGGCCGGCTCCGGGGGAGGCGGTAGGTGGGAGCCAGGCCAGGCGGCGCTTGTCTCCTCGTGCTTGCCGTAGGAAGTGGCCGGGCCGGCCGAAGAGCGGCGGCGTCGCCTCCCCAAACCTTGGGGCCGCCCCGCCCCTCCCTCCCGGGGCCGTTACACACACCCCGGGGGCCGCCGCCGCCGCCGCCGAGCTGTCAGGACGTGCCTGGGTGCGCGCCCACGGCCGCGGCCGGCACCCTTTGTCCAGGGAAGTTGGACCTTTCCCCACCCTTAGCTTTTGCGAACGTGGCCGCGGAAGGCAGTAATGCGAGCTGAGACACTCGGGGCCGTCCACACGACCTTACGGGAGGAATTCGGGCGTCGCGGAGGACCCACGCCAGTGGGCGTCGTTCCTCTGCAGTGGTGGTCGCGGGAGAGGAGAGCGTGGGCGGAAATGACCGTGCACGCTGTGTCCCTGCCATGTGCCAAATGCTGTGCTACAGTGTCTGTCCTGGTCCTCACGACCGCCAGGCGAGTCAGCCAGGCGACTGGGACCTTACTTGAGGCCGCCCAGTTTTCTTGTACTGAATCGCAGTCGGGTTTTCTTTTGTCGGAACCGTGCAAAGAGGGTAACTGCATCCATTAAGGATGTAGGCAAACTAATAAACCAAGAAAGTAAGAGTGACGTGAATTATATTTATTCCCAACCTTCTAGCGTTCATTAAAATAATTTAAAATGCCCTTGAAATGAGTTGTCATCATTTACCACTGCTTACTCTCCACCACCACAATTAGCCAGTTTACACTCCCTCGTAATCCCACTAACGTTTTCTCGCCTCTTCTCAGTATTCACATTCTTTCTTCACCAAATTCTGCTGTTTCGTCCTGCCCAGGCTCTCGAATTGTTCTCTCCCAGGATCACCACACACTTGGATGGTTGCAGTTCCCCATCCTGCTGTACAGTCGCCCCCTTCAGCACATTCAACAGGTGGCTACCAATTGTTACACTGCTGCCAGAGAAGGACACTGACTCTGGCTCCCAAAGAAGCAACCTGAAATATTTCATTTTCTTGAGCATCTGGCTATTTACCCAGGAAAAGGCATCCTTCTTTTACTGTGTTTCAGGATCTTTCTCATCTGACCGCTGGTGTGCTGGTCCTGTTACTCCCCAGCAGTGTAGTGAGGTAAAAGAAAAAGCAGGAGTTGTTCTATCTTTCCAGTTTCCATTCTGCCACTCTCTACTTGTGCGACCTTGGGAAAATCATTTTACTTCTCAGGCCTACTTTTCTTAACTGTAAAATGAGGTGTGAACCAGATGTCTGAGATCCATCAGATCCCTAAAATGTGTAGATCTGGAGAGTTTAAGATGTTATACCCTGTTGTGTATACACAGGAATACTGTCAATATCACAGACTCAGATTTTTTTTTTTCCATTCCATTGGTTGTTTTTTCTTATTTCCTGCTCTGCCCCAGATAACTTTTTTGTTAACTGAGCACAAGCCTTCATTGTCTCTTCTTCCTGAGCCCCCAAGTAAAATGATAAGGAGCCGGCCAGTGGCTTAGTGGTTAAGTTCACGTCCTCTGCTTCAGCAGCTGGCGTTTGTGGGCCCGGATACCCAGCCTGGACCTATGCACTGCTCATCAAGCCACTGTGGCTGCATCCCACATGCAAAATAGAGGAAGATTGGCATAGACGTTAGCTCAGCAACAATCTTCCTCAAGCAAAAAGAGAAGGATTGGCAACAGATGTTAGCTCAAGGCCAATCTTCCTCACACACACAAAAGGTAATAAAGGAATAGAAAATGAGTCAAACCCATACAAAACAGAAAATGGGAAGGGGGACACCAAAAGACAATTTATTTTTAAATTTTATGCACAGAAAGTGAGTGCAGTCTGACTAAACAAAATGGAAAGAACCACAGTGTGGAATAGGTGCAGGGGTGCCGCAGCCTATCACGGGGCCTATCAGCCACAGGTGATTTAGAAAGACTGAAATTTGGAGACACAGACAAGAGAGAGAGCAAGAGTGAGAAGCAGGACTGAAAACAGCGAGACTAAATAAAGGTCTCTATACAAAACAGCAGAACCCTTTCTCTATCTCAGACACAATGGCTGGGCATTTCTCCCAGGCTGAAAGTCAAGAGTTCTCATAATCTCTGGGGAGGACTCAGGCAGCTATTTGAGCATTTAATGACTCAGAGTAAAGCATTCTTCATTCTGGCACAATAGCCAGTTTCCTACCCACTTACCCTAGCGTGAAGTTGTGCAAGTTGGCAAGACCTTCCCAAGTTGACAAGATTCCTAATCAGCATTCCCACTACCTCATGTTAAATATGAAGAGACACCCAGGATATTAGATATTTAAGGGAAGTCTCCAACTTGGGGGACAGGAGGAAGATAAACAGAAAATGTAACAGAGGAAACAGAAACTTCAGAGAACTTAAAAAAACAAATTAGGATGCTCAGAGACTTTTATTACACCTATGAAACGAGAATTGTATATTCAGATGAAGTAACAATCCAAGAATAAAAAGTAGGTCTTGAAATTAGAAATAAGAAATTGCCAAAATTATAAATTCACTTGAAGTGCTGAAAAATAAAGTCAATGAAATTTTAAAGGAAATAGAGGAAATATGCAAAGAGATGGAAATTGCAAGAGGAAATATAGAAGAAATAAAGAGTTAATCCAATAAGACTAATATTATAAGAAGAAGAGAAAACGAACTAAATAAAGAATGGAAAATTATCTCAAAAATAATGGAAGAAAATTTTCCAGAGCTGAAAGCATCCACTACTGCAGAGCAAAAGCAAAGCAAAAACAACTTTGTGAAGTGTTAGAACTCTAAACATAAAGAGAAGGTCCTAAATTTCCAAAGAGAGAAAAAAGTGGCCTATAAAAGAACAGGAATCAAGCTGGCATTAGAATTCTTACCAGCAACACTAGATATGAGGAGATAACAGGCAAAGACCTTCAAGTTTCTGAGGGAAAGATTTCTTGAACTTCAAATTCTAAGAAAAAAAATTTGTTTCAAAAAACTCTCTATACCTAGCTGAATTATCAGGAGAAAGAGCAGAATCAAAATATTTTCAGATATGCAGGGACTGTACCTTTTTAAAACTAGAGTTATTTGAGGGGCCAGCCCAGTAGCGTAGTGATTAAGTTTGCATGCTCTGCTTTGGTGGCCCAGGGCTAGTGGGTTCAGATCCCAGGCATGGACCTACACACCACTTATCAAGCTATGCTGTGGTGGCGTCTCATATACAAAGTAGAGGAAGATTGGCACAGATGTTAGCTCAGCAACAATCTTCTTCAAGCAAAAAGAGGAAGACTGGGAACAGATGTTAGCTCAGGACCAATCTTCCTCACCAAAAAAAAAAAAGTTACTTGAAGATGTGTTTGAGGAAAACAAGGTAGAAAAGAGGGTATCCGACAACATCATATCCAGGAATCATTAAATCTAATTCAGGAGAACAGTGAAGAGAAGTCCTAAGAGCAAGGCTGGATTCAAATGGAAGGATAGGAATTCTTGGAGAGAAATCTGAAAAAGACAGAATTCAACTGAATAATTAACTACTATGATAACATAGAAAATGCTGTTTTCTGGTGTTCAACTTTTAGACTCAACCTATTAATAAATAGTAGATAATCTTTCTATAGTTAAAGCATAGTTTATAAATTATATCAATGTTGACAACATAGAGGTAAAAGTATGGCTGACAGTTTTAGAGTGGAACGTAGGCAGGAATGTAGAGGTAAAGATAAAAGCATTCAAGAGATTGTGTCTAAAGTTGGCAGAACCAGAAACGGTTGTTGAAATGTATCGTTAGAGGTAGGAAAAGTGCCCAATGGAGGAGCAACCTAATAGGCTACACTGGGAGGACAGGAAGACAGGAGTGAGGTATAGGGCTTATAATTAAGCTAACTCATCATCTGTCTAGGTAGTTCAGCAAGAAATAGTAGCAGAAGATTTAATATTGCTAAAATGGTAGCACTCCCCTCTTTGTTCGGTAGATTCTGTGCAACCCTATCAAAATCCAAGCTGCCTTTTTTAGTGTGGAAATTGGCAAGCTGATCCTAAAATTCACATGGAAATGCAAGGGACTCAGAATAGCCAGCAATCTTGACAAAGGGCAAAGCTGAAACACTCATTCTTCCCAATTTCAAAACCAACTACAAAACTACACTAATCAAGATAGTGAGTGCTGGAATAAGGATAGATATATATATCTCAGTGGAAAAGAATTAAAAGTTCAGCAATAACCCATAGATTTACAGGCAACTGATTCAATGGCAAAAGGATAGTTTTTTCAACACAGGATGCTGGGACAATTGTATATCCACATGCAAAAGAATTAAATTGGACCCCTGATTCACATATACAAAAATTAATTCAAAATGGATCACAGACCTACGTGTAAATGCTAAAGGTATAATACTCAGAGAAAGCATAGGTGTAAATCTTCGTGACCTTGGATTAGGCAATAGTTTCTTACACAAAACTAAAAGCACAAGTGGCAGAAGAAAAAAATAGAAATATTGGACTTCATCAAAATGGAAACCCTGTATTATTTGTATTATTGAAACCAGTGGACAGTTAGTCATTAATAACTAGTAACTAAAGTTTTCTTAGCAGTTATTAATTGTAATCTTTAGTTGTTTGCCTGTTCATTGTTATCTATGCTGCTTATTTTTAAAAGATAAGTAGACA